ATAGAAATCTTTTGTGACATTATATAATCTTTACTGTCACTTTTGATAAATTTTTAATGTGCTAATTGCTGAATAAATGTATTCACTTCTTTAAAGGGGTCATATGATGCTATTTTAAAGATAATTATTTTGTGTATTTGGTGTAACAGAATATGTTGACATGCTTTAATGTTCAAAAAACACATTATTTTTCAAATACTGTACATTATTGTATGTCCTCTATGCCCCGCCTCTCTCAAACACGTCGTTTTCAACAAAGCCCCCTCCTTTGACAAGCGCAGTCTGCTCTGATTGGCCAGCTGACCCAGTGCATTGTGATTGGCCGAACACCACAAGCACGCGTCGGAAATGTAACGACCCTTACCATAATCGCAGCTTCAGCTTTCAAAGTAAATAAGACAGTTAATAATGTCGTTAGTTTTACCATCAGTTCAAGCCTGAAAGGGCAACAGAGTCGCGTGACAGACAGAGTGATGATGCAGTACACAAGCCGCGGTTAAGACAGCTGACATGCTATGATTTCTGACAGGCAGTTCACTCTCCTGTGATGTGACACTGTTCCCCTCACACACACACACACACACACACACACACACACACGACGCGTTACTCTGTGCTGCGCCAAACTCCGCATTTCAACAGTCAATAGCAAATACTTAACAACACAACGTCTCCCTGACATGGCTGCATCAACACGACTGCTGTTCCTGAAACCACGCCTTCTTTCTTTGTGTGCACATTTGGGCGGCATTATGCTAATATTTCCACATAGTGACCTAGATATGTGGGGGAGGGTTAGAACAAGCCGTTTAAGGTAGGCGTGGCTGACTCTTAACTTTTATAAAGAATATCTCTTTGGATTTGAGACTTTAGTCTTTGCAACTTTACAGATCTTCTTTATGCACCAAGAGCTTGTAACACTCCAAAGAGAAAGGAAAACTTGAAATTGCATCATATGACCCCTTTAAAAAAAAGAAAATCTCACCGACCCCAAACTTCTTAACGTTCTGAATTCTTTACTGGTGTTAAACTATTTTTAAGATGTTTAAAATAAACTTTAATATTGACAATCAGTATTGACAAACTTTAAAGTAATACAGTAAAAATATATTTTCCCCCATGCAACAAAAGATGTCAAGCTGTGATAACTTCACCTTTTTTTGGGCAGTTTTATCTTTGAAAGGTAATTGAGGCAGAAATTGATGAAATCCTGTAAAACCTCCTCTCCCATGTATGCCTGAATATTCTGATTTCAAAAAAGAAATTAGAAATAGAAGAAATCCAAATAGTAATTTGGTAATTTGCTGGACAGGTTTTTGAGCATATTTAATAGTAAACTGAGAATTAAAATTACCTGTATAGAGTGCAGCTGCCCAAACCTGTATGCTACCAAACCGTTCTCAGCAAATACATAATCCACTCTATCAATCACTGTAAAGGATATGAAACATTTTAAGTACTCATGAACACTATAAATACACTCAATGTTTTGTGCATATATTTGTATGTGTATTTAAATAGATTTTTGTAATTATTATACATACCATCATCACCCAACTGCTCTTTAATTTTGTCCAAGTCTGATCCTCCGACCACCCCGACTCTCACTCGCCGTCTCAGTTCACTCAAGAACTGATGCATGTCAGGAGTTGCTTTCTAAAGACAAAAACATACAACTTCATCCCAAGCACAAAATTAGAAAATGTCAGTTCTTTTTTACTTCCACTATGTGCGGTTTCATGAATTGCTTTGTGCTTCATAATTATTTTACTAGTCAAATTTAGCTGAACATCCATTAAACACCATTACATATTTTAAAAATAGATATGTTGTGGAAAAGTTTTTGTTTTGTTTTGTTTACACAGTATTTCCTATGTCCAAAAATATTAAAAAAGCATAAAGCGATTTTTTTTTAAATCAGTGTAAATAAACAGTAGATATTGTGTCAACTTAGCCTATTGTGTCAAGTTAAAAGTGTAACACCATCCCCTGCTATAGGGCTATAAGTGTTATATGTATTTATTTTTTTCTTTCTTATCCATTGAAACATTCAGTAGCTTTTCTGTACTTTTATAACAGAAGTGCTTATTCATTTGGGTTGAAATACAGCTTTACAATCTTTTATTTTATATGACATTTAAATCAGTGTGCCGAAGAGACGGAATGACTTGAACAAGCAATGAAATTAGCCAATAAATAAATAATAATAAAATATTTCTTATCTTAATTCACTTCTTCTTTAAAAAAAATGTTTTTCTTTGAAGAACATGGATTTCCACCATCTTGGAAAAACGGCATATATGAGGTAATCTAATCTTATTTTAAAAGTGTGAAAAAGTCAAGTAAATTAAATCTCATCACATTTTATAATGAATATACATGTGTTAGGTATACCAAGCAATATTTTATCAGGCAGAAATCGTGTGTAAAAATATTTAAAATGTATAATTCTTATCCAGTAAATCAAGAAAAACCAGAAAATCATGGGGTCTTTGAATATAGTTGTGGACAATGTTGCATTGTAAAACGTGTTATTTACCAGCATGTGTTTAAAAGGTCAGTTCATAACTATATCTGACTTCCAATGTTTATATATAATATCTATCTTCACCTCACAAGCAGACTAAAAATAGTTCATGGAGAATGAAAGTTATCTTTAAGAGACAGCCATGGCCCATCACTGTCATTTAGGATGTGCTAAGAAAGAAGATTAGATTATTGTGTATTATCACCACAAAAACTGCATTCACAATACATATTTGACTTTATAAAAGCACATTTACAGTGAGGTATCCGTCTGATTACTGCAATCAGAGCACAAGATGCCTATACAGATCCTCATTGAGTTTTATTCCTTTACATCCGCCCCTCGCCTCACTTTCTTAAAGGCAGTTGTCAATTCACAGTACATTATTATAAATCACTTATCATTACCGCCAGGATTCACATCTCATACTGTAAATTTACAAGACTAACTAACGCCTTCTGCTTTATTTCACTCACCTGGCGAGCTGCTGTTAAAGTCCCGTCCACATCAAACAGGCACAGTGTTGTCGGGTCCACGCTTGAATCGGCCATTGTAAAATTTGCAAACTTTGTAAACCAGTGTACGATTCGTATGAAGTTTTGCAAAGACTCAGTGTCAATCCTCCAGTATAAGAGCTTCGAAGTTCAGTTCATCCATTCAGCAGTGCAACGTCACATCTTCCGTGTTGTCGGAAGTGTATTGGAGCTACGGTGGCCGAGAAGTGCAAAGCAAATCACAATTCTGAAAACAAAATAACAAATTACAAACACAAATGCAAGTCTAAAAAACAAAATAACAAAGCACAACAACAATTCAGAAAACATTATAACAAGTCAGAAAACACAATGACAAATTCGAAAACAAATTAACAATTCAGAAAACACAAGGACAAATCAGACAAACCGGAAAAGGTGGGTATAGTTTGAGACAGCGCCATTGGTTTGGGATTACTCACTGCTGACTGGACGAGACATCTGTCAATCAACGTATACAGGGAAGAACCAGCCGAAGAACAGCAGAGTCGTGGTAGAAAGTCCGGAGATGGTATTAAAGTAGCTCAGTTTAAATGTATTGTATGAATTGCCCTTACTCTGGAATAAAAAATGCGGGGTGTCTATTTACATTTAGTTAAAAGTGACTGTAAATCATCAGCTCCAGTGGTGCAGATAGATAAGCGTGTGCCCTTGACTTTTTGACACGATCGATCCGGGTTCGATCCCGCCTTTTGCTTTTTTTCCTCCCTTTCCAAATCTCGTATTAGCAATGGATTCTATTTACACTAAGTGAAAATAGCAGTATTTTTAGCAATATGCTATTTACACTAAGTGCAAATACCTATTTACACTATGTTAAAATAGCAGGATTTCTACTATCAAGTATACTACTTGTTGCAAATAGTGGCAATTATCTGCACTTCAGTATTGTAGTACATTATAAAACAGTATGCAATAATAA